AAACTCCGAATTTAATTTACCCATTATAGACTTGCGGAGAGTGTCGGAGGAAGCTGTGAGGATGATGTCATCAACATAGAGAAGGATGTATGCAACCTGTTTTCCATGACTATAGATAAATAGAGAGTGGTCGGATTTGCTATGAATGAACCCAAGAGTTGACACAAAAGTAGCAAATCGGTGGTACCATGCCCGTGGAGCTTGCTTGAGACCATAGAGGGCCTTGTTGAGGAGGCAAACATGACCCGTTTTATTTTTATCACGAAAACCGGGTGGTTGATGCATGTAGACGGTCTCTTCAATATCACCATTCAAGAATGCATTTTTGACGTCCATTTGATGAATGGACCATGATTTGGAGAGGGCAATGCTAAGGACGGTGCGAATGGTTGTCGGTTTGACCACCGGACTAAAAGTTTCATCACAGTCAACTCCAACCTGTTGGTTCCTGCCATTAACAACAAGTCGGGCTTTGTGCCTCCCAAAAACACCGTTAGCATCTTTCTTGTGGCGATAAAGCCACATACAAGGAATAATATTTGCATCAAGAGGACGGGGGACCAACTCCCACGTCTTATTTTTAATTAGAGCAGTGTATTCCTCAAGCATGGCATTTTTCCAATTAGTGTCATCAAGTGCTTTAATGGGGTTACGGGGAAGAGGAGAGGGTGTGATAGAAGTATGGAGATTAAATAAACGCTTTGGTTTAAATATCCCGTGGGAGCTCCTTGTAGCCATTTGAGGAGAAGTTGGTGGATTTATTTGTGGAGTGGGCTGATTTGTGTAAGTGGGCCGTGGGTTTGGAATTGTGGTGGCAGTGATGGGAGAAATGGGCTGGGCTTCATTTGGAGAAGGAGAAGGGAGGCGTGTAGGAGAGGGAGGAGTAGTGGGATAGTGGGTTTGTGTGGGAGGGGTCACGGTTTGGGCCGTGGGAGTGGGCTGGCCCGTAGAGGAAGGCTGGGAGCATAATTGTTGCAGTAATGTTGGAGAAATGCCATGGTCCAAGAATTCATAGGTGGTGGCAGTTGGAGTATGGACTTTTGAGAAAGGGAATTGAGACTCATCAAATAGGACATGACGGGAGACGAATATTTTGTTGGTGGACATGTCATAGCATTTGTATACTCTATGATTGGCGGGGTACCCTAAAAAGACACATGGAGTGGAACGGGGTTGTAGTTTATTGATGGATGTAGAGGGGAAAAGAGGGTAACAAAGACAACCGAAGACACGAAGGTGTGAGTATGATGGATCTTTTTGGTAGAGAATTTGTGTGGGAGAGTTGAGACCAATGGTTTTTGATGGTAGGATGTTGTGTAAATATGTGGCCATTTGTAGAGCATGGTGCCAAAAGGAGGGAGGCATGGAGGAGTGAGCTAGAAGGGTACGAACCATGTTATTGATGGTGCGAATTTTTCTTTCCGCCTTACCATTTTGAGAAGAAGTGTGAGGACAAGAGAAGCGAAAGACCATGCCATTTTGTTCACAAAAGAGTCGAAATGGGCCATTATCATATTCTTTACCATTGTCACATTGAAAACATTTAACACCTCTTTCAAATTGAGTTTTAGCATAAGTATGAAATTGGAGAAAATAGGAGTGAACTTGAGATTTTTTGCATATGGGGAAAGTCCACAAAAAATTACTAAAATCATCCAAAAATAATACATAATAAAGATGTCCGGCCGAGCTCATTTTAGGTGATGTCCAAAGGTCACTATGGATAATGTCAAATGGCATACAAGTACTTGAAAGGGAAGGGGAAAAGGGGAGTTTGACATGCTTTCCAAGAGGACAAGAAGCACAAATACTAGCAGTAGAAATCTTATTACAATCCACAAAATTATTTCCCTTTAGAGAATGCAAAATATTTATGCCGGGGTGACCTAGTCTATCATGCCAAAGGGAGGAGGATAGGGCAGCAAAATTTGATGGAGCTTGAGAGATGGCGGTGGTGAGGGGATAGAGGTCGCCGGAGCTATCACATCGCATAAGAGTTGTCCCCGTCGGAAGGTCCTTCACAGAAAAACCAAACGGGTCAAACTCAATAGAAACCCAATTGTCACTAGTGAATTTTCTAACCGAAATCAGATTTTTGATTAATTTGGGGGCATGAAGAACATCATTAAGGGAAAAGGGAGGGTGGGGAGGTGGAAGGGAAGCACTACCGACACCATTAATTGGAATACCATGCCCATTACCAACAATAATATTGCGTTGAGTGCTCAAATTAAAATAAGACGAGAGAGTACCTTGGTGAGATGTCATGTGGGAAGTGGCGCCGGTGTCCATGTACCATCCATCATCTGGTGGTGTAAGGGAGAGAGTATGCAATGCGGCATCGATATCGGTAGGCGCATAATTGACTGTTGATGGTGCTTGGGCTGAGAATGCTTGTTGTTGAGGTCGTGGGCCGAGAATCCCTTGCTGACGAAGCCTAGAGGAGCGTGGCCATGAGGTGGGGTATGGGCAAGGGGGAATGGGCCATTGTGGCTGTTGTTGGGCCCAGGGGTTTGGATATTGAGGCCACGGAGCCCAAGGACCCCAAGGCTGCCATTGTTGATTGCAGTAGCCCTGCTGCTGGTGGTTGCCACCGTTGGTTCCTCCACGGTGTTGGCCGTGGTTGTTATTGTGGCGGCCCCTGCCGCGGCCACCACCACCGCGGTTGCGACCGCCGCGGTTGTTGCTTCCTCTGTTTTGGCGATGGTGAGTGCGTGAAGCATCGTGAGAAGAGTGTGCTTCATCAAGGTAAGTATCAGGTTCGCTTCCGGCGGTGAGTAGGGTTGTGCCGGCGGCGATTGATTCGGAGGCTGCTTGGTGAGCGAGGCGGGATTCCTCAAGAACGAGCATAGAACGTGCCTTGTGAAAAGAAGGGAGTGGGTCGGTTTGTTGTAAAATTGCAGCAACTCCATCAAAGGATTTTGGGAGGCCTCGAATAAGAGTGAGGACGAGGCGTTCATTTGATACCGGAGCATCAACGTTTGCTAGTTGTTCGGCCACCATTTTGACGTTTTGACAGTAGGCAGAGACGTCGGAGAAGTTTTTCATCTCGAGGCTTGAAAATTGACCTTCCAATTGCACAGCTCGTGTACTCTTGTTGTCCTGGAAAATGTCACGCAAGCGATCCCATGCTTGCTGTGCTGTGGAGTTTGGTTCGAGAATGGTGGTGAGGAGGTCACGAGAGATAGTGCCATATATCCATTGGAGGACAAGTGCATCTAGGCGAGCCCAGATTGCGGCATCAGCGGTGGTGTTGGGTTCCTCTGGTGGGATTATGTGGTGAATAAGGTCGTAAGCACGGACGTGGACTTTGAATAGCTCTGCCCAAAAAGAGTATAATGGAGTTTTGCTCATCTCCAAGGTTATAGGTATGAGACTTTTGATATTGTTGACAGCGATAGCGGGATGGAAAGCCAGAGCTTTTGGTGGGTCAGAGGACATGGCGGCTGATTGGAGGAAGAAGAAGAAGAGACAGAGGGAAGGCAGAGGATTCGATTTTAACCTGATACCATGTAAGAAAGTAATCCCTTGCCATTCTCATTGCTTGGCAGAGTATATATACGATAGTTTCTAGGTAAATGCTATCTTGGGAAATAATATACAACCTGGGGAAGACTATACAATCATCAATGTAGCAACATAGGGAATAATGTATGCATTGTATCTAAAATATACATTGTATCTAATATTATATATGCTAATTAAGGATTATGAATCTTTTGTCTTCGTAGATCCTCTTGGTGTCCAGGGAAGAAGGGTTCATGGCTCTGGAAAAGATGGATAGACCTTTGTTTTTGCCTTGTTTGATTATCTCTGGAGAGGGAAGGGGTTGTTGGACTGTTGTTTAATATGTAGTATATTGATGTTCAAGTGCTGCTTTGATTACTGCTGAATGGAGTGTACTAGGACTTCAATCGTCAATCAGCGTCTCCATTAGAGACTTGTGGAAGGTAATTGAACATTTTCTTTCTTTTTATTCAATTTGCCAATATGGAAAGTTTTATCCTAAGATCAGATTTTGGTATATAGTGTCTTGTTCTTGGCACATTCAAGCATTCCTCGTGTCCAAATTTCCTACACTATGATCCATTCAATAGAAATAAGGAAGCATGAATAGCATGTAAAATATAAACAAAGCATGTGGTCATCGAGTTCAAAATTTCAAATAATGATATTTGAAATAATGTTCTGATAGCTAATATCTTATACTAATATACTGAATTTGTTGGTAGCAGCACAACTTAGTTGCCAGTGATGCAGTATCGTCATTTGGAGCTTCTGTAGAGTCTCATGATTGTGCAATGTACATATTCACCCCTAAGATGTCGGAGTCGTACTCTGCTATGTAAATTTAACATCATTTCTATTGCAAAATTGGAGCAACTTTCATTTTTACAATGAATAAGAGAACTCGAGTTATTTCGGATGATGAGTGGTTTCATTTGGATTTTGTTTTTGATGTAAATGTTCGTGAAATGTGGATTACAAAGTGCAAAGTGTATACTCAGATTTAAAGCATATTGTAAATTTGTATCTGGACGTTTCTTGCTACTTTTGTTTCTTGGAAATAAATAAAATTTGTTTTTTTTTTAAAGACGAGACGATTTGATCTACCAATTTCTCATTAAATTGAACCCTTGTCGTACCGAATTTTTGTAATTGTATATAGATCCCACAAATTGAAGCTGATATAAGGTGATTATGAGTTTATCACACCCATTATCATATCAATTAAGCTAGTCGATATTTGTTTATCCTATTCAATGTGACAGTCCACTAAACATAGTCTTGAATTCTAGATTTTTGGGAAAAATATTTATCTTTTTAGTTGTAATCAAGAAAGTAAAATCACGTTTCTTAATGATTTCCACTTCTCCCATTATTCATGGTCTATTAAAAGATCACTAAATGTTTTCAAAATACAATCACTAAATGTATACTTTTTTTTTTTTTTTCGTGTCAAGTACATGCTCTTTAAAGGTTTTAGGGTATTTTGGTCATACAGTTCCAATTTGGTCTTTCTAAGATTTCAATTCCGGTAAGTTGTTGATGACATTCAGAGAATTCAGTTTAAGCAAAAACCATGTATTTTTGCCTACAAGTTTTTGCTAAAGCATCTGAATAAGGTTAAATTGAATAAAACGGAAACATATAGAATGTCTCGAGCTCAGCGAGCATCTATAACTAAGAGGTTCTTACAACATGTTCTGAACTATTTGCTGCAAATGCAACTACTTCTAAACAGCTACAGCTTCTATCCCTCATATTAGCGATCACTGGCTTTCTTCTCTTATATAGTCATCATATTAGTCACAGAATCACAGCAACAAACCCTACTCCTGTAAATTCACCAAGTAAGTTGTTAAAATGACAATTTCACATATATGCCGACCATACAGCAATTATCAACAAAACTCGGGAAAGGGAGGGAGGGGGAAGGGAGAGGTTAGTCGAAAAAGTTACATGCATCATAAAGATGAGAGTGGTGTATTTGTTCCTTTCAATACCTTCATATTGTTGCAATTCCTTTCCACACCCCTTGCTGCACCTATTTAAATACTGATTTCCACTTCCCCTTTTTCTGTGACTTCAAACATGCCCGAAGAGGAGGAAATTCCTTCTTATTAAGCGTTATAACAGGTTCTGGAGGACGGCTTAGAGGGGGGAACTCACTGTCATCTGCCAGTTGCAATGGCTGCACAGGGACCACCCTACATTTCCAAAACAAAGGGATGAAGGATTAGACAAATCAGAATATGATTATATGAAGCAGCTGCAAAACTTTGGCAGGGGTAGACAATAAAAATGGCAAATAAAATTCGTTAAATTAAGAAGAAAACTGACAAGGGGTCTGAGCTACACATGGCGGAGGAGAGTGTATTAAAAAACTCACAAGGCTTTTGAGGTTGTTATTGTCTCACCCCTTCTCCAGTGTGAGAAAATTCACACACACGCCCCCCCCCCCTTTCCCCAACACACACACACACAAACATATATACATGACAACAGCAGCAAAGCCTTAGTCCCAAAATGATTTGGGGTCGGCTAACATGAATCATCATAAGGAACCCGTAAGGGACATAACAATTTAATCAGTTGAAAAAATTTGAAAAAAAGGTGTGCAAAGCAAGAAAAAGAAAGAGCATCCAAGTAAAAATCAAGAGAGTTTTAAAAGAGAACCGAGAATAAAATTGAATGTGCAAAAGCAACAAGGGCATAAGAAACTCGTACATTTTTTCCTCGCTCTTAGATAAATCCTGGTCTTCAAGTACTGTCACAGTTGTTGGGTCACTCACAAGGTCCAAAATAGCCGAAACATCGGAATCTGACAGCTTCCCTGCTTCTGACAGTGACAGAGATCTCGGAGATGAATGTTTGAAGCTATCAAACTCAATGCTATCCAATGACACTGATGTCTCTTTGACCTGCTTAGTCTCCGGGGGATTCGATTGGTTGACTTTAATAGGTATGGGCTTACTTCCAGGAAGAATAGGGAAATCTTCAATCGAAAAATTAAAGGCATTTGTGTTTACTTCCACACCAGATGACAGATTAGCCTTTGTAGAGGTGCAAGATGGAGAGTCCACAGATTCAACTTCTTTTCCCTTTTCCTGTTCCTCATTTCTTGCTTCTACATTAAAATGCCTTCGCATGAGATGCTCCTAGTATCAATCAAAATTAGTACTCTGAAAAAATATTTATTTATTTTTTTTTTTTTTTGGGGGGGGGGGTGTTTACAAAAAAGACTTGCAACAAAATAGATAAACCCAAAATGAAAGAGAAATATTACAAGATTAGGAATATATGTCCCTGTTCCCCTTGATTTCCGCTCCTCTGTAACATATGTGGCATTTGTCTGTGGGTAACTTATCAGATTCCGCTCCTCTGTAACATATGCAGCATTTGTCTGTGTGAAACTTGTCAGTAAATTAACAGAAGGTGGACTTATGTTGATGTTACTATACAAGCTCTGATCAAATTGCACAGTATGACCCATCTCCATACACTGATTATTCCAGACCGTACAATGTGCTGATGCTTCAGGGAGTACAGGATACATCACACCATAATCAAGAAACCACAGAACATAATGTATTCCTGAAAGAAGATGATCATGATCACTGTCGCCAGTGAAGACATTAGAACCATACTTGTCCACAGGAACTGTGACATCTGCTCGTCTTCCATTTCCATTCCTCTCCAGCGTATCCTTGAAAAACTTTTCAAGCCCACATTCAATATTTTGTGATGGTAACATCAAAATGTCGCCCAACTTTTTAGTACCATAAGAGAGAGCAGCTTTGATACGATGAAAGTTACCTAATAAAAGTATCATGAAGATTATTGTTAAATAAACAGAACATTTAAAAAATAGTTTTGAAGAGTTTTGGTGTTTAAAGCATTGTAATACCCTTGTTAACACTGCGGCCTAAATTGTTCTCATCTCTAAGAGGATCTAAAATGTTGAGAAACTTTACAGGAAATACAGAATTCTTGGTTCCAACAATTCCCATAGAAGATAAGATTGCTTCTCTAGAACTCCTTAGAAAATTATCAGTCAACAATAAATCATCGCAGTCATGTGGTGCTTGCACTGTGAGACAAAGGCACAAAAAACTTTTTAGCAAAAAAGAATAATCAAATTACAGCAGAGCATCAAAGACAAAATTAGCAGGTGTAGATGGAGTAATTACCCACTATATCTGGAAGAGATGATATTAAGACAAGACCATTAATATCAACGCAATATCTGGTCCAATCAAATGTGCTATAGTATTCTAAAAATTTATACAAGACCTGCAACCAGTACAAAATTCCTGAGTTTCTCAATGATATCACCTTCCAAATAAAATATAAATTATTTTAGCCAATTTCATTTTATCCAATATATATAAATAACATCAATGAAATGTTATAAACATCATTTCATAATATTATTAGATCCATAAAATTAAGTCAATTTAGGCTCTGTTCTCTACTTCTCCTCACCTTAAAAAAAATAATATGTAGTAAAAATAATTTTAGTTCAGTAAAATTAAGTTCAGTTCTGTACAAAATAATTTCAGTTCAATAAATACAATATTTAATCATTAAGAATCAATAATTTTAAAGAACAAATATAATAGAGAATCAATAAAAATAATTTAAGTTCAGCAAAAATAATTTTAGTTCAATATAAATAATTCGAATACAGCAAAAACAAGGTAAAGTGAACAGGACATATCTAACTCAAATGCCTCTTTATGATACCAATAGAATTTTTACTAAATTCAATTGAATATATTTATTTGTATATGGCTATAACAACTATTGAAGATTGTGACATTTTAACTTGAAAAACTTACTGCTAAAGGACAAGTCAATGAAGAATGAAAAAGATTGATAACATGCAAGACCATAGTCTCCAAAGCATATGTAGATATTAGACCATGGAATCCACCAAGGATCCGACTCTCATAATAGCACCATGCTTTGATGAGAATCACACTGCGCTTGAAGAAATGATCTTTGCCAATAAACCGGTCAACCTGGTCAATATTCAAATAGAGTATTCAGATAAAAGGAGGTGAAAAACATACATACAAAGCAATTAGATGTAAGCATCTTAACCATCACTTCAGGTGCAAGGAAGAAGAAAAGTATTGGTACAGGACTACTGGAATGAGAATAATTTTCAAGCAGGATATCCTTTCAGAAATTAATGATAATGAAACTCCCATTACTAAAATAATGACACAAAGATATACTTCCTCCGTTTCTTTTGGTTGACACGTTTCTTTTGTCACATTTGCCAATGCACAAATTAAATCATTAATATCTTTAATTATCAATAAGAAAAAATTATAAAAAGTTGATATTTTGAAAATATACATTGTGACGAATATAACAAGATCCCACTTGACTATATAACATGGTCAAAGTGAGGTGTGTGAATAGTGCTAAAGCCAAAACGTGTCAACTAAAAAAAACGGAGGTAGTACATACTAACAATCAGAAAAAGCAGTATAATGCAAAGCATTCCCAGAATGCATACAGTGAAAAGGGGAACAAAAGATGAAATCTAAAAAAGTAAAAATTGTACATTAAGATCAATATGTGTGAGCACTTATCTTATAATCTCACTTGACGATTCTGAGAAAGTCATTCTTAATGATACAAATGTTACAAAAAGCCAATATTGAAGAATGCAAGAAATATAAGATTAAGGATCCCAAACTTAAGTTGTTCAAGAAAGTAGAATGATCCTCAAAGGACTCAAATCCTAAAAATCAGGGTGGTTATAGAGGGAAAACTTACTAAACAAGATAAGGTCACGAAAAACACAGCGCAGGTAAAGATGTATATAAAACAAAAAGGAAAAAAAAATTAAGATTTAGATCTCCAACTTAACCTGTTCAAGAAAGTACAGTGAACAAAGCCCAGTTGTTTGATTGAAGGATATGTCTACACAAATTCCACCCACAGTGCATTTAACAATTTTCACCTGCAACCATCATAAGAGTTGCAAATGTTAAATACAAATATCAATTCAATTCTCATTTTAAAATAAGTAACTTTCTTTAAAATGCAAGAATAACAGTATGCATTAAGGGAAGTAGCATGACTAAACAACTAGCCTCCTTACCTACATAATAGCTTTTGCAAGTGGAATATAGGAAAGGGGTCTTGATTTGGATAAAGTTCCAAACATTTTAAGGTATAAGAGGGCTTAAGTCAATTTTGGACATTGGTGTATATATATGTATATATATATATATATATATACACACACTCCGTTGACACGTTTCTTTAGTCATGTTTGTCAATGCACAAATTCAACCATTAATATCTTGAAAACATTATGATAATTTGATATTTTGAAAATATTCATTGTGACGAATCTAACAAGATCCCACATAACTATATTTTTCATTTCGTATAAAGCACAAAATACGGTCAAAGAGGAATGTGTGAATAGTGCTAATTGTCAACTTAAAATAAACGGAGGTAGTATAATATAGATAAATGGTTCTTGAATAAGAAAATACATTAAAAAAAAAAGTGTAAATACTATCACTAAAATAACAAACCGTTAGCATCATATGTTGACGTGTTTCAGTTACTTAAAGAAAATTTTCCTGCACTAATTTTTTTTCTATCCCAACCCTTACTTTGCTCCTATTCTGATTTATTGAATTGAGTTGAACTGATTGGAATGGAGGTGAAATGAAATGAATATTTTATGAGATAAGGAAATTAGGAACTGAACTGATTGGAGCTAAACTGAACTAAGCTGAAATTTTGTACTGGAATCTTCTCTATGCACTCTTTTAGGGAGAAGAAAAATAAAATCCTTATTTTCTACTTTCTTTACTTCATTTGACCGAGACTCATGACTCATTGAAGTCCTTATTGAAAATGAAAGTCTTCATTACTATGGACTATGGAGTAACTCATTTTTTTTCCTTATTTATGTCGCTAATTGTTTAACCTTCTCAAACACCTTGCATTATACTCCTCTCTCTCTCTCGCACCCAGCACCCTACAACAGAGTTTATTCCGGTCATTATCGTTCCAGAAAAGCCGATAGTTTGTGCAAAGATAGTTGCTGCCAATTATTTGTTCTCTATAGATTTTTACATGTTTTGGATTTTTTTGAGATATGGAATTTTTTTGCATATTGGAATTATTTGTATGAATTTGCTTGATTTCTGATTGATTTGTTTTTTTATTAGTTTTTTAAGAGGAGAGCGATAGAGAGAAAAATAAGTTGGACCCATGTGGGTAAGAGAGATAGAGAGGAAAAAATGTCAAAAACATAAAGTGTTGCAACTAATTAAAAATTTCCAAAATAGGAAACTATAACAACTAAAAAGAAACGGATGAAGTATTAAGTGGAGCATATGAAGGCAAGGAATTATGAAAATTATTTTTCTGTTAGCCTCCCCTATAGATTTAGTATGAAGATTGAACTAATTTTCATGAGATGAGATGTTATTTGGATCTGTGGTTTCTACTTTGTCCAGCTGAAGGTTAGGGAGGACTCATGTGAATTCTTTTTTTATTTCTTATCAACAGAAGGCGTGGAGCAGCAAGAAATTGAAATTGTCCATACCCAAGCTTATTTTCATGTTTTTTTTTTTTAATTAATTTTTGGAGTCCATATTCAAAATTTTGGATATGTTTTTTAAGTTTTTGTATGGAGTTTGTAATACTTGTATAATTAAAACGTATTGTAAAACCGTGCATGTTAGGCTAATCTAGCAAGTTAATACATGAATCTCCAAAAAAAAAATTAATAGCTAATATGCTAAAAAAAATCACCACAAATGAGCTATTGTCATAGGCTCATAGCAAATATTAAGGAATTGTCATAGGCTCATAGCAAATATAAAGGAACCATAAAGACTTAATAAAATGGAACCATATCTACAGCTTATGCTTTTAGAAAAAGTAAATGATTTCATCAAAATCACCAACAAGGCCCCTTGTAAAACTCTAAGCTTTGAAATAAAAGGCATATATAGTAGAGGTCTATACTCCCTCCATCCCTTTTTGTTTGCTCCATTGGGGGAGGATTACTTCTTTAATTTTTGGTTGAAAGTGATTGACTAATTGATGAGAGAGAAAAGTGGTGGGGGTTATAGTAGTGGTTGTAAGAGTGAAGGTGTGTCTTTACAATCAAAAGTAGTATGGAGAAAACTCAAAGGATAGACTAAAAAGTAAAATTGTGCAAATATTAAGGGACATAAAGAGTATAACACAATATACATTAATGAGAGTGCTAAATGATGACAAAAATTGTCATTTATACCATCACTTAACTCTCACCATATCGCATCATTTATCAAATAAAAAATTACAATATACTAAACGCTAAAAAATAATGCGAAGTTTCATATAAACAACCTCAGTGGTGACTTGGGAAATAAAGGTCACGGTTGGCTAAGTGCAAGAATAAGGATGCAAATATATCTCATTATCCCTAATTATACCTTTGATAAGATCCATAATGATACTACTGTATGTATCTTTTCTTGTAGCAAGACCACAAATGTTGCTTTAATAATCCTCTTATATAAACATCACATATTTACCCCAAGGCTTCCATCCCCCAAATCTAGTCCATATAAAAAGAAAAAACAAATATAAAGAGGGTAAAGATTACCATTTTGTTATGAGGGCTTACAGGTACAAAAACAAAGAGCATAAAAGACCTTTTATTACTTCTTTAGTGAAATGTAAAATTACAAAAGACAAACCTAGAGACAAACCTGCGCAGGGACACAAAGCACATCCTCAACTTGAATTCTAGTGCTTCTCTTCTCTTCATTTTCTAGGAGATGGCAGATCTCCGCAGCTAAATCTTGGCCAGTATTGGAATAACTAACTGCAGTCAAGTCGATGTCTCCATGTGGAAGGTAGGTCTTAAGAGGCACGGATCCAAAAGGGAAAACCTAGAAAAATTCAAAACAAAGCATATTCAGCAAGCTCCATTTGATTAAACAATTTTCAAGACTATGACAAAAGAAAAAGCCAAATTTGGGAAGAGAAAAGGCAAAGACTCCCTCCATCTCCAATAAAGTCGTACTTGCCTTTTGCACTAGTTTTTAGGAAGGTGAACACAAAAAAAACAAGACATTGAGGGGTTAGGGTTTGGTTGATTAATGGGTTTTAATTGATTAAAGTGGATTAAAAACATAAGATACTGGGGTATGGTTGCTTAAAAGTGAATACAGCAATAGCATTAAAAAAACGTATGAGACTATTATATAGGGGCAGTTGTTTTGGATAATTGAGACTCCTACTTGGAACAGGACTATATCAAATCATGCTAAGTTTTGCATTTTTACCGATTTACACTATGTATAGACTCAACTTTGACTATTTTCTATGATTTATAATTAAGAGAAAACATAGTCATGTGGAAGTTGTTAGATTCATCTCAATTTATGGTGAGTTGCTGACAAAAATATAGCCTTCTACGAAGTATAAATTTTACTTACTAGTAATTACAAATATCAATGGTTGAAGTTATGCATTGGCAACTTGGAAAGCATGAAAATATAAGTGCTGTATCTAAAATATGAGAAAGAATAACAATAAAACTCCCTCCATATTTAAATAAATGAAATCACAATTTTAAAAAGGTTAGTTGAATTTATTAAAGTAATAGATAGTAGGGTTTAAGTTTGAGCAGAGTGAAGAAAGTAAGGGGTTTGTGGCCTTGTGGGGACCATCAATTAGTAAAACATTTATAAATTTTTTTTTTTTTTTAAAAAAAAAAAGAGTATTATTTACAAAAAATAGAGAGAGTTACTTAACAAAGAAACATTTTATTTAATTAAACACGGTCGAAAAAAGAAAATGTTTCATTTATTTAAACACAAAGGGAGTACCAACAATAACAACAAAACCTTAGTACCAAAATGATTTGGGATCGGCTAACATAAATCATCATAAGGAACCGTCCGATACAGAATAGGAATGAAAAGAATATTATGACCTTGGCCTAATATGCCATAAATAAAACCACATTTTGGATTTTGATAATCCCCCGATAAAATCATCTTTGCACATCATCTTCCAAAAACCTATATTATAGTTGTAGAGTCGTTTAAACGAGAACCCTCCAAAACCCCAATGCTCAACTCTCATGCATTTAAGTTTTTTTTTAAAAAAAATAACGACCAATCCCACTACTTTATTTTTTTTTTTTATCATTTTAAAAAAAAATTATAAAAAAAAATCAATAACTACCCATTCACTATTTCTTTTTTGTTTTTCTTTTTTGTTTTTTTATTATGGGACTACTACTAACATTTCACTTTATGTGTGTTTTTTTTGTTACGTTGTATAACATATGACATGCATTAGCACGAGTATACAGTTCCTTTATCAACAATTCACTATATCACTCAAAATCCCCAGCATTTCACTTTTTTTTTAAACGCTACGTACTAACATTTCACTTTGTTTTACGAGTATTTATTTTTATACATAGTATAATATATGTCATGCATTAGCACGAGTATACAGTTCCTTTATCAACATTTCACTATATTAGTCTAAATCCCCAACCCTTTAATTATATGCATTTTTTTAAGGACTACCCTCCTAACATTTTCCACTTCTTTAATCATCAAAAACAAAAAAAAATGTACGTTTTTGTGCAACTGGCCTCAACGAATAACTACTTACAACAAGACAAAGTATGTAACTCCTAGAGCAAGACACTAACCCATATGACACTAACTGAGTAACACGAGTAACCCCTATAACACTGAACGGGTAACCTCTATAACTTTGAAAAAGTAAACCCCATAATAGCATTGCGTGGCCTTACATAAAAGAATAAGACTCTGTTTTTTTGAGCTTCAAAGCAAAGCATAGAATATCATATTTCAGCATAACACATCAGGTGTCAGCACATTATTAATACGATTATTATTAGTACTCGGTACAACATAGCTAATTAGGGTTTAACAGAACCGACAAGTCCAAAACCGACCATTACAGCTCAAGTCTAAATTACAACATCAAATCAACTTTCCACATTTTAAATATATTTTTTCTTATATATCCCGTGCATTTTGCATGGGTACACTCTAGTAGGATAAAAATGCTCAGTAACTTGTTTAATAGGTTAAGGAAGGACATGTGTCACTACGATTTGTTAGGATTTTTAAATTTAAATTTTAACATATTTATTTCTTTTTTAAAAAAAAAAAAAACCTCCCCCCTTCCTCGTTCAGCACCCGCACCTCAAGCAACCCGCAACCCCTACACTCAACCACCGTTCCAACTTCACCAACAACAATCGCACACAATCAGCAGCGGCGGCCACTACCAAGTACCAAACCACACCAAAACATCAGGTCATAGCAATTTTAGGCCCCAAAAACAAAGCAAATCGCAGGTTCTGCATATTCCACTCCAATATCCGACCACCCCTTCCCCTTCCAATTCTGGCAGCCCCATCTATCTCCACCCCGACCGGATACCACTCCCTCTCCTTCGCAGCCCAAACCCGCTACCTCTCTTTCCTTCGCAGCCAGACCTGCCCACCTCTTTCTCCTTCTCATCCCACACTTTCCCACCTCTCTCTCTTCTGCTCAGCCTAAACCTAACCAGGTCACCACCCAGACCCAACCACCAAGCCACCACCCTTTATGGTGAGGTCGTGACGGTGTGGGGATAGGTGGGAGGTTCACGAGAATGGGTGGATTTTTTTATTTTTATTTTTTTTTGTAAATTAAAACCAATTTTTTTTATTAAAATCATTATTTTAAAATAAGAAAATTGTAAAATAAAATATAAAAAATCAACCAATTACAAAGTGACGCGCGTGATACTAACCCATTTTCGCCCCATTTATGGAAGATCATGTGCAAAGGTCGTTTTATTGGGAGATTATCAAAAGGTGGTTTTATTTATGGCGGACCGAGCAAAGGTCGTAATATTCCTGTCAATTATTCCATACAGAAAAATGGGACAAAACAAGACAATCGATTGAAAAGGAAGTTTCAAAAAAGGTGTGTAAAATGAGAAAAAGAAATAGCATCCTAAATATTAAAAGAGTTTTAAAATAATACCAAGACTAAAATTTAAAAAAAGCTTCGCCAATCTGCTCTCCTATTTTTCCCCATACCCCACATTTTCTCTCACTCATACAAAATAAAAACAGAATTGAAAGACGTGGGACCCATGTGATTTTTTGGTGAGGAAGTTCACAGCATGAACTTCTTTACAAATCTTCATGAATTTTTTTCGTGATTATTCACCATAGGGATACAATTCTTCTCAAAAATTTTACTTCATGAGAAGAAAATCCTCACCGTTGGAGGGCTCTAAAAGAGGGCTTTATTCCAAAAACTAACCCTAACATAAAAATTTAAATAAACCACTCCTTACTTTATAACCTCTTCAATTACGAAGTGACTAATAGTATCAAATGAACAAGAAGCCAAGAGAGAGTAGAGATTTGTCCATACCAACCAACAAAACAGAACAAGGTTCAAGGAACAAAGAGTTTTATATTTAAAAGTTGACAAATAAATAGATATTAGATATACACACAAACATATATATGAATTTGAGATAGAAATGATGTTCTCACCTTAATTTCAAAAACATCTTCAATAAGCTTCTGAAGATATTCAATGATCTCTTTCCTCCTATTCTCAGATTCAGCATTAGGTTGGATAACGGACAAAATCTGCTGAGCCGTCCTGTCACCAACCTCCCATCTTCTAACATCAATTTGCAAAGGATTCACATTGCAGTTAGAGCTTGATGAAGATGTGAATGATGATGGATGAGGTGAGTGTAAATTTTGGATATCCATCATCTCCAGAAAACTGCGAACTTTATCCCTAAAAAGAAATCAAAGATTTATCAAACATAAAAACACCAGAAATCAAATGCATAGCCAATGTACAGAAAAGCAAATAAAGAATAATACTGAGAATCGCTAAATACGGAAGAAATGAATGGGAGATAGCAACTAAAGCAGTAATCAGCCCTCTAATTTAATTTAGAAAAGCAAAACTGCAAATGAAAATTAACAGCTTAACCTTAGAAAGAACTCTGGTGATTTTTGTTCAGAATGGTGAAATGAGTTCCAAAGTTCTGTTTTTTAATTTAAGATATCCCCATCCCTGCCCCTTTTCTCGCAACGTTAAAACTATTGATTAGATCTCTACTCTAAGATTTGAAAATCTGAGAGATAACCTCCAAAAAAATTAAAGAGAGCAAAACAGAATTCGAAAAGAAGTAAAAAAAAAAAGCATTTGACTCCGGGAGACATCCGTAAATTGTCTACTTAAGTGACACGTGGTGAAAATGTCAGTATACGGGAATTGGGGAAAGAAAAAATGCGGAAAGAAATCAGGAAAATCAAAATTGATGTAGTCTCACTGAACGGTTATAATGGAGTCGGGTCAAACCAAATGCAGAACATAAGAGTCAACAGTTTCACCTTTTGCAAAAACAATTATGCAATCTTATGGAAAGGAAGGTAACTCCATAATGAAGTGTAAAAACTGACACAAAAGACAAAACTTTAATGGTAGGTTGCATGATTCATGTAAATCAAATATTAAGCAACGGAAAACAAATTACTTTCAAAATCCGTTCAATACTCTTGCTCCATACAGTTATTTTCATAAATGCAATCTTATTTGTATTGAAAAAAAAAACGGATTACTTACAACCTTAATCAACCCATAGATACATAAAGCTGCATCTATTAGGATACGCTGCTACATTAATGCTTAAAATAATAGATGTCATATTCAAATTCACTTACTTTTTCCACAACAAACCCCAAAACAACCTTTCAGCCAAAGCAGTGTACATCAAGACCTCCCCAAACCCCAAATTAGGCATGTAGCATGATCCTCACCTTTTGATGGTGGCCAGGTGGTATTATTTCCATATATGATTTCAGATTTTCTGTTGAAACTTAAAAGGCCATTAATGTTGCTGACTCAGACTAATTTTCAATACCATGAACTTTACAAGGGAAAATGGAAAAAAAAATAATTGGTTAGGCAAATAGTTAAGACACCCAATTTAATATACATCCCAAGTACATCAAATTTCTTTAGCACAAACTGGTATCAAAGGCACAGCTGACACACCTATGAGTTTCCAACATGAAAGTATCAAGAAAATTTTCAATATATTATTTAAAATATGAACTGTTAAAAATCATACTATACACTATCTCACAACTTTTTTATGATGCACCCAAGCACTTAATCTTCACTAATTATTGGTGTCCTCGACCTAATACAAAACTCTTCTTTACTCTATGTAAGAACAACAAAAGCTTCACTAAATTACTATATAAAAACATCAGTTCATTCCAATATATATGTAATAATACCCCATCATATATAATTGAATTGTGACACTATCGTATACACTTCTTTTCATTGCATACATTTTATAAGTTGTGAATTTACATCAGAACAGAGTTCACAAAGATCTTGTTTAACATAGTGCTCATGTTGAAATGATCACTAAAAGCAATGTCATATACAACTAACATCACTATTATAACATAGGTGATGCAAATAATGAAAATATATAACCAGTTGACTCAAATTTCCTATACATTCAGAATTACATATAAGACAAAATAATACAAGGGCTAAGAAGTTCATATTAGTCCATAGAAGATAAGGGCTTATAAAAGGCCGATAAGTTCAAATAAGATTAGGCTAATAAATTCCAATAAGGTGTAATAAGGCCCGATAATGTCTAGTAAGTTTCATTAAGATAAAAATAAGGACTCATAAGTTCAGATAAGTAAGATAACATAAAATCAGGGCCAATAATACTCCCTCCGTTACATATTACTCGCAACAAAGGAATATTTTATGTCTCACAAATAATACCCCTTTGTTGCGAGTAATATGTAACGGAGAGAGTATAAAATAATTGAAACCAATGCAAAGAGAACACTAACTAGTTCTGTCATTTTAAGAGGATGAACATTTAAGTCACCAGCTCGTCCATTTAAAAGTATTTGATAAACATTCTCTTTCTTTTTTTTTTTTTTTTTTTTTTTTGCGCATTCAAATACTACCTCCATTTCACATTATGTGCAACAATTGAATTTTTATATCCCACAAAATATACTCAATTGTTGCACATAATGTGAAATGGAGGCAATAGTATAATATGGAAAGAAAATTTCAAAGAGAAATAAAATATTGATCCCTATTCTTAACTTTTAACACAAGCTACAATTAAGCAAGAAGGTGAATCAAAATAATCAAATTATTAAGAGAGGCAATAGAAGCAAGAATTTTAGACATGCTTCCCCAAAAAAATCCAGTTCTTCACAACTGATAACATTCCATAGATCAATCAATAAAAAAAATTCTCATATAAGTACCAAAGGTAGTGTAAGTTATTATAGAATTTGCCTTTATATTTAAAGTACCACTTACATTCATTGTTAACAACTAATACTCTGGGAAAAAAAAAAAAAAAAAAAAAAAAAAAAAAAAAAAAAAAAAACTATTGACTATGAGCCAATACTATGACTACGTAGATATCCTACAGCTCAATAAAAGTCCTTCATTCACAGGTACATAACCCAAACAAGTCACAACATACTTTTAGTAACTACTATACTAGAAATATATACTCTCTGGCAATCCATTGGTTCATACTATCCTAACATCTGTAAGCAAGAAATCTTTAAACATTATCAATCTCAATACCAAACAGCTCAAGAATATGATATCTAACAATTTATGCTAATTCAATTGTCTTTAACTAAATGACATCCAATAATGACCACTAAATCTGAGGCCAGACAAGGCGTCATAGCCAATTCTTTATAACTATAATGGGGCTTTGATGCACTTGGATGGAAAATGTCAGTATAGATTAGGGCATAGCTTTGTCTGAACCCCACTTGACTATTCATGATTGATACAATCATACATGATAACTTATACGAGTAACATTTCCACCTCTAAACTGATGTACATAATATTAGGGATATTCTCACAGTGCTCTTCATAAGACAAACCTTTTCACCTTCCAGATATTAACAGCTACATAACAAAAAGATGTCTAAGCAACAAGGAGACTATATAAATATAAACTACTATTCCAAAAAAAACCTATGAAAAATATTCCAAATTTATATTCTAAGTCCACAGCTTATTAAAAACTCGATTAAAGAACAACAATACCACCCATCATCTACCTTGACTTTAAATTGTGACTTGAAATCCATCAAAGCCTTAATCCCATAAGTGGGGTCGGCTACATGAACCAAATTTTATTATTCCGTGTAGTCATCGACATAATTTTCCTCCTCCATCCCTTATGATCCAATGTCTCATCCTCATGCAAATAGCATACTTTGAATTGTAACTTGAAAGGTCTGGATAAAATAGCATACTTCAACTATGCAACATACCCCACTCTCCAACCTTCTTTGTATTCAAGCAAGAAATAAGAAAATTGCACTGTGAACTTCGTGTAGTAGGAGGAATTGTAGAGCAGAGAGAATAGCAATAACCTCTCTACTCTTTATATCTAGAGGAATGGGTTTTTTTTTTTTGGTATAAAAAAAAAAAGAGATGATCATTACAATGTTCATGGCAGAGTATACCATTAGGGACGACTACGAAAAGTCTAAAACCCTTTTTTACACAGCATGGGTATTCCAGCAAAATTTGGGCACAATGAGTTGAACATGAAAATGTATTACACTAGCATATTGTAGAAAAATTTATCAAAGTAGGATCATTTTAGCCAATAATTTAAACAAGTTGGCTTTCCTCTAGTGCACCCCAGAAGATTAAAAACAGAAGTACAAGAAAATCTACAGAAATGTTAATCTTTTGTGACTAAAATCTACAAACAGCTGACCACCTGTCAAAGACTAGTGTGAATAGCAGCAGTCAGACAAAGCATCCCTTCTTCGACTTAAAACAAAGGTACACATTATAGGAGTCACCAATTTAGTCCACCCTTGTCTATGCATTTTTCATGAAATTTCTGAGAAAAATCAAAGCCATAAGAAGCTCTACACAAGGGCATAAAAGCAAGCAGAGATAAAAGGATTTTCTTACAACACCATGGTAACGCATAAGAATCGTTTATATCAGTTTGTTCCATGATGATACATTATTCCAAAGTTCACTATATCTGAAATCCCATTATTATTGCAATAGCTTCCAAGTTTCTTCAAAGTCCTAGGATAAAATTATATGGATTCTCTTATAAGAATTTAGAATAATCAGACAAACAGGCATTACGGATCAAATATCAAGAAGTCTAACTTGGTATTGCCTGGAAGCTGGAAAGCAATAGCAACAGCTATGAAAAAATAATTCACAACCTACTCCTGTTAAAGTAGTCCTAGCTGGTACAATTTTACACTATGCACCAATTTGCACATTCCAAAGTGTGATTCTCAAAGTTAATACGGGTCTCACTCAACAGTGAAGACATACAGCACTACACACACACACACGCACGCACGATAAATAAACTGATTTAACGAAGTCTGACCACGATGAAAGTCCTTAAATCAGCTTGAAACAAACCCGAGCACAATGGCCAAAAACAGAACACAATAACCAGAACAGAACAAAACAGAAGATAACACAGCATGCTAAAAATTACAAACAACAAAACAATAACCAGAATTGAGGCAGTATAACAAATAACAACATACAGTATAAGGGGTGATACTAACCAGGAGTTAGACATTGGTTACTACAGTATAATGGAGCAACTGAAAGGCAATGCTAGAGATTCTGATGCCCAAGCCTCAACAATTTCTCTCACTTTATGTTGCTGAAACAGAGTACACACAAACAAAATATCAAAATCCCACTCTAATAATAATAATAATAATAAATTCATAAATAAATTGTCATAAAAATCAAAAAATTTAAAACAATTAGACAAAAAAATCATAATTTGCAATGTGGGTACTTCAAAAATTTAACATCAGTCATATGGATATTTCGAAAAAAAAACAATAATCATAATTAGGCATATAAGTATAACAAAAAAATAAATTAAAATAGAAAGAAATTGGTGATCACCCATAGAAAACCCTAAGTCTTTGCAGTGGTGAAAGTCCAGAGAATGAAAAACCTTCCACATTTGAAGGTGCCCTTGTCCTTGTAATTGGGTAATAAGGAAATTGCTCCTTCAGCATCTCTTCAAAGAACACAACACCAAAAATGGAGATATCCTATGAAATATGAAACCCATCATCATAATATAAATAATAACAACAATAAATACAAATTAAAATTATGACGATTGTGAAATCAGAAAAGCATGGGAAATAGTGTATCATGTTTAATAAATGGGATTTTTTATTTTTCAAAATTAGGGAAGAAAATAAAAATACAAAATTTTTATCCCTCAAGATCATGTAAATCGGGTAGCAGATTCTTTAATTAGCTATATTTTGGAAAGATATTGGCCCAGAAAGAGCAATTGAGTGTAATGAATTCCAAAGAAACGCTGAAATCTTCCATAATTAGATGTAGTTTCCAGTTTTAATACCCATAGTATTAAACAGGAAACAAACCCAACTGCCTAAATTAAAAACAATGGAAAAGAGAGAAAAATTTAGGCAAGAATATTCAAGGGTTCTTCTCTAATCTATGTTGTTGGGTTTAGAGGTGGTATGCACTATGTGTTTAGGTTTCTCTCTCCCCTATTTTTTTCTTCTACCTAGAATTCGATTAATAATAAGGTTTTGGTGTTTGGATTTTTTTTTTTTTTAACAAAGATTGTGTTTGGTATTTGGTTTATAATATTGACATAATAGGGTGCGGAATGACTACTCCTATACACATGTTCGGTTAAGCGCATAGTAACTAAACTACCCCTACTAATTCTATACACGTGTACGGTAGCACATAATCACTGTATTTTAGTAATCAATAGTGGTAAGCAAAAAACGTTGAATCAGCGAAAAATTTGCAGATTTACCGGTAACCATCAAGAGTAATAAAGGCCCTTGATTCAAAATATTAGCATGTGTGACGTTGTAATGACGTGTTTCTTTCCATTCACGAGCTTGCTTGCTCATAGTCATTAAATTGGTCAACAATTTTGACGAGATACGTTGCATCAGTGAAAATCCTGCAGATTTCCTAGAAACCACTAGAATTAATAAAGGCATTTGATTCACAGGGTTGTCATGTGTTAACGTATTAATTTCTATTCATATGTTTGGTCAGTCGTAGTCATTAAATTAGTCATCAAAACCAGTAAATAGCGTTACATCGGCGAAAATTATGCTTCCTACCGGGAACCGCCCAAGTAACATTAAGCCTCAAAACTTCAATTCAAGTCTTTAAAAAAACAACAATGTTTATGATATATGTGAGGGAATTTTGTTGATTTATTAAGTTTTTCAGATTTACACTTTGTGAGTTATAATCTAATTTGAAATATATCTACAAAGTAATTAACTATTATAATTTCAAACCATATAAATTGAATTGATCGTGGTTGTTCAAATCAAACCTTGATTTTATCACTAAGGTTTCAAGTTAAACAAGAGCATATAGGGATTAATTTAAACATGAACAATTTCAGTATATCACATATGAAACCATTAGTGTAACATTGAAATCCAACCAAAGGTATCATTTTAAATTTAAATGGTTTCATAAGATTGTAATAAAAAAAAATGAAAAGGTAATTAATGGCAAAATAGATCAGACAAAAGGTATACACTTGATAAAGTTACCTGTAGATCAGATGAAAATAGGAAAATAAGGTACCAGCGTTGAATGTTGACAAAGCAAATTCGTAAAATATTGAGGCTTTTTGCTTGAAGTGAGAGAAGAGCCAAAAAAAAAAAAAAAAAAAAATAATGAGGAATGAAGGAATATGCAAAAAGTTGAAGTAGATGGCAAAGCTATTCAAATTACATTTTGTGTACCCTAAAAAAATATCTTTTTTTTTGGTTGTTGAAATATGTACCCTAAAAAATATCTAAATTAATATAATTTACAGAAAACATTCTTCATTTATTAAAAATCGTTCTTAATAGAGTATATATGCCATGTGGGACCCTCCTTATATATACATATACCACATCATCAAGCAAAACATATGTAGAATAAAAAAAAATGCTTCTAGTAGGATTTGAATTTGAGACCAATATTGCAAGATAATATTAGTATTGTTACAAATAAAAAACATATAGCAATAATATAGTTTTGGTCAGTTGTATTTTTACCTTTCATATGTAATAGAATAATATTTTATTCATTAGATATACTACATCCGGTCCAAATTACTTGCAACTTTGGAATATTTTATATCTCACAAATAATACCCCAAAATTGCGAGTAATTTGGACCGGAGGTAGTATACAAAAATCACTAGAACAATTTATTATTACTCAAAAAGATATAAAACAATCAAGTTGAAATATATAGAGTTTATAACATTATAAAAAATGCAGAGTATATATTATGACATTCAAATTAGCAATCACTGCAACAAGGTCATTAACTAGTGCAATATTAATTTGTCAAATATACTTCGTATTTTTTAATTATAATTATAATCCGTGATTAGAAAATTATTAATAACCCCTTGTCTGGTTTGTAATGAGAATTGATTCGGAATAAGTATTAAGGTTACATAATTGTTCTTATCAATTTTCTTTCCTTTTCTTCTCATTAATGAAAACTTGGTATCGCTGTTGTCCCAAAAAAAAAAATTAAAAAAAAAAATGGAAAACTTGGTATCTCCGTGCTCCATCCCACCCCTTAGTAATAAAACCATGGGAATAGGCCCATTCTATCCCCAATCCCATCTTAAATTTTCTTTTCGACGAAGACAACATAAAAAAAAAATGCACATAACATGTCAAAAAATATTTATTATATATGACTTGAAATCTAGTACAATGGCAAAGGGTCAACTTCAAATGCACATATCTCTCAATCTAGAAGTGAACTTGAGGTGATTCAATTTGGAGGTTATAGCTTGTTTTAAAAGCTTTCCTACGATAGGTCATATGCCCAATTCAAAGTTAGGTCATTTTACTAAAGATTGTCTGATGCGGTTCCAAGGCATCAATATTGTCATTATAATTATTTTTATTGTTATTTTTAGTTTATTATTAGATGACCGAATTTATTAGGATATTTTTGTTAGTTTAATTCGGTTAGTATAAGATAAGCTTAACTTTAAAGATCATATTTGCAAAATATTATCTTTACAAGTTAGAGTTAGTTTCCTAGTTAGATTAGAATTTGTTTTACCGATTTTTAGGCTAATTATTTAGCTTATAAATACGTGATGGTGTTTAACGAAAAGTATGATTGATTGATTTGAAATTTATAAAGTTTTACGTAAGCTTGTGCTTGTGTATTCTTGGCCTAGTTTAGGTTTTAAGCAGTTGAAAGGTTTGGAATCTTGAGTCTCGGTCAAGAAACGCTAAGCAACACGAGCTTAAAACCTAAACTAGGCCAAGAATACACAAGCACAAGCTTACGTAAAACTTTATAAATTTCAAATCAATCAATCATACTTTTCGTTAAACACCATCACGTATTTATAAGCTAAATAATTAGCCTAAAAATCGGTAAAACAAATTCTAATCTAACTAGGAACACTACTAAAAATCGGCCAAATTGCGACCGTTTTTTTACGACCGTCATTAAAACGGTCGCAAATTATAATATTTGCGACCGTTTTTTTACGACCGTCATTAAAACGGTCGCAAATTATAATATTTGCGACCGTTTGTAAGGCGGTCGCGGATTTGCGACCGTTTTTAAGGCGGTCGCAGATTTGCGACCGTTTTTAAGGCGGTCGCAGATTTGCGACCGTTTTTAGGCTATTTAACAGTTGCAAAGGTATTTAAAAAATTCTTTAAAATAATATACATGTTAAAAATAATTTTAAATAAAAACAATTCTATTACGACCGCCAAAACGGTCGCAATTTGTGAACATTACGACCGTTATAGAAATGGTCGCAATTTGCGACCATTTGCGACCGTTCTTAAGGCGGTCGCAGATTAAAATATTTGCGACCGTTTATAAGGCGGTCGCAGATTATAACAATTTGCGACCGTTTTAGCGGTCGTAATTGTTTATTTATTAATTTTTAAAATAGGGTATATAAGGGCTTAAGCTTCCCAACCCAAACTAACCCTAATATTTTTTTTGGGGTTAACAGCCGCCCCCCCCCCCCTCTCTCTCTCTCTCTCTCTCCTCAGTCGACCCTCCTCTTTCACCCTCCATTTTCCTTTTCTCCACTCTATCCTTCTCACGCCCCTCTTCTTTCACTCTCACCTCCTAATTCTCCTCTTTCAATTCTGAAAATGAAGCAAAGCACTTAAGAATTGAAGAATAAGAAGCCGGAAATCGCTGCTCATTCAAGATTTGGCTCAAATCGGAAGCTTCGCCGGCGATTTCCCTCTCCTCCACGCTGCTTGCCACCGTCACAACCACACACTGTAACAAGACCTCCACCGTCACAAGAACGAGCCTAAGAGAAGTCAAGGTTTTCTAGATCTGATAATTAATTTAGGTTATATTGTTGATCTAGATTTATTGTTTCTTATTTCTGATTTTGTATAATTGTTTTGTTGTAATTTTAGTTTTTAATTTTGAAAGATCTATATTATTGTTTTATTTCTGATTTGTGTTGTTTATTGTAATTTTAGTTTATAATTTTTGCAAGATCTATATTATTGTTTTATTTCTGATTTTTGGGTAAATTTCTGTAATTTGTATAATTTTATTTCTGATTTTGTGGGTAATTTTCTTAATTTTTTATAATTTTTATGGGCGGCGTTGGGTTGAGGTGGTTTCGGGTGAGTGGTGTTGAGGTGGTTTCGACTGAGCGGCGTTGGGTTAAGATGGATTTAGGTGAGCGGCGTTGGGTTGAGGTGGTTTCAGAAGAGCGGTAGTTGATTTATTGGTTAGGGTGAGGAGTTGTGGTGGGTAAAGGTGGTTTGGGTTGGCGGTGGTGGTGGGTTTGGTGGTTTCAGGTTAGCGGCGGTGGGTTTTCGTGGTTAGGGTGGGAAGAAGTGGTGGGTAAAGGTGGGGTTTGGGTTGGCAGTGGTGGTGGTGGTGGTTTAGGTGGTTGGTGAGGCTGAATGCGAAAATCAGTAGTGCGTTTTTTCTTTTTATTTTATTTTTTTAAAAAATTTAGCGACGGCTTATGGCGGTCGCTAATTTAAAAATTGCGACCGCTGACATAACCAGTCGCAATTTTTAATTTTTGCGACCGTTTTCTAAACAGTCGTGGAAAATAATAAAAACAGTCGCAAAAAAACTGCGACCGTCAAACGGTCGCAAAAATGATTTTCTGCGACCACGTGAATAACGACCACCACCTTACGACCGTTTTTACTAAAATCTGCGACCGTCTCTGACGGTCGCAATTTGGCCGATTTTTAGTAGTGGAAACTAACTCTAACTTGTAAAGATAATATTTTGCAAATATGATCTTTAAAGTTAAGCTTATCTTATACTAACCGAATTAAACTAACAAAAATATCCTAATAAATTCGATCATCTAATAATAAACTAAAAATAACAATAAAAATAATTATAATAACAATATTGATGCCTTGGAACCGCATCACTGTCTAAACTAGAATTGACGCGTGCCTAATAGCACAGCACGCCCGTGCTTCATCGAGAGATCAGCCAAGAGTGTTTTGTTTCCTAATTTCGAGTATGCTTTATATATGACGGTTACTAATGATATTCCTTGGGGAATAATATAGGGTTTCCTTATGTTATATAAGAAGCCGTTGGGTAGACAATTAGAAGTGCTATATATTGATTAATTAGCCTAGTCAATTCAAGCTGTTATGTAACTCCACTTTTGAGAGATTTTGTAAGAAATGGAGTGTTGTATCTCATTTTGTTATCTCT